TTTTTTTTGCATGTTTTATTTTTTGGCGTCTTTAATAAAAAGTAATGAAAAATGTATATTTATATTATTAATTAACTAAATATTAAAGCGTGTCCATGATGTGTCATATTTTATTTTTTTTCAATTCTATCGTGTCCCCATATTGAGTTGTGTCATATCCGTATCCCCGTGTTCTCATTTCTATGTTCCTCTGTCCACGTCCTCATGCCAATGTCTGTGCATCATAGATTCACACACACACATCATGTTCGGGTATGATGAAGTTGACCCGACCCATAAGTGAACCCGCCCCTATAGGATGTGTTTATAAGTGCAAATTTATGAGCAAGTTTAGCCACGACCATTAACACAAAGGCAATTGCACATACACTCAAGCGGAACACAGGGTCAGGATCACTTTTTGGTGAAATAGTGCATGGCCTGAACAGTGGACAAGCAGGTTTGTGACGAGATGTATTTCATGTCACATGCAATGCAAATGGATGTAGTTAGGAAGATTTGTTGTTGCAATCAAGGAATCCGTGCGTGCGGGATAGTGCTTCGGAAAAAAATGCTTGTGATGGGAGCACTCATGGCGGTGCCCATCATGAGCACAAGACATAATTCAACATGGTGAATTTACCCAACATGAAGATTTCATCTGAGGGGAATTATGCTATACATGGATTTGCAGCAGTTCATTTGAAGGGGTATCACATATGGTGGGTGTGCGGGATGCAGCAGACAAGAAGGTTGTGAGGAGCTGTACTACAACTCGTGCAATACAAGTGGATGTAGTTAGGAAGAGTGGTGGTTGCAGTCAAGGAACACATGGGGCACACATGGCGGTAGAATCATGAGCATGAGCTATAATTCAGCCGGGTGAATGTGCACAATATGGAGATTTCAGCTGAAGAGGAATCGTGCCTTGCTTGGTGGCAACTTCATAGTTGCAGTTAACTTGAAGGGGTATCATGAGTGGTGAGTGTGTAAGATACAGAAGTTGCGGAGTAGGAAATATCTTTAGGTGCAGCACAAGGGCAAATGGGTGGTAATATAAGGTGTAGTTGTGATGAGTGTTCTTCATAGTCTAGATATATGAATTTAGAGTTGTATGGGGATCTCAGATTTACAGGGTGTGCATCGGTATCGAGTAGAAATCAAGACGGTGAGCATTGTTACATGAGGAGTGAAGGTGTTCATGAAGAGAGATTTGTCAGCAAAGTGGGCGGGGGATGTGGCAAAGAAAATAAAAAAAAATATATGATGTTTTAGAGAGTGAAGATGCAAATGGTTGTATGTGGAGGTTCTCCAAGAATCAGAAGGTGGTAGCTTCAAAATGTGGAAAGGAGTCAATTGCTTTCATCTAAATTGATGCAGAGTAATGGTAGAGGCATAAGATGAATGAGTGTGTGAAAGAGAGGGGCTTCATTGGCCTATTTTATTATTCAATAAATCACAATCAAGTGCTTTTAATCCAATTTTTGATATCTTGTACAGAACAAGATTCTTAATACATTCCTAAAATGCATTAATTTCTTCTGAGTGAGGACAAAGATTTAATAATATATCCTTATTACATTTATATGAATTTTTTAAAGTACATTTAAATTAAATGTACACATTCTTCAAGTTTAACATGAAAAATAATCTGACAACAGTACTTATCATGCATTACACTTATTTTCTAAATACAATCCAATTGCTTCTATGTTTTATTTTGTTCTTAAATATAGCTTGAAAACATTTGGATGGCAGTTTAAGCATTTAGTTTGTTATCAAATTGGTGAAAGTCTGTTTATGTTTTTCATGATCTCTTGAAAGCCAGAAGTGAGGTACAATTTTTAACGGCGAGGAAGCGGCCTACAGTATTACCTTTTTTTATTTACTGTAGAATAATACTAAAGTAACTGTTTTATGAGTTCTAATAATGCTTCTAATAGAATAATATAATATGAAGATAAGAGTGGGTAAAAGTAGAACTCACCGTACCGCAAACGAAGCTGAACTCGATGAGTTTTATATAAAGTGAGTTTCTAAAAATTATTGAAACAAACTTTAATGATTGGCTTCTGAATTTCAAATCACTTCAAAGAGTCTACATTAAAACAAATTGGCCAAGTGGAGTTATGTAAACATTTATGCAAATACCACCTTTGTAAACAGTATTGAGAGTAGTACTGTCCTTGATAAGCAGGACATTTAAAAGTTCATTTTCTTCATTTCAGCCCCCCAATTAATCTGTATCTATGTTATTCTTTCATTCTTATCATGGACACTTCAGAAGTTTAGAAGCCGCGATGGAATAAAAATTTCATGTGAGAGCCAATACATGATTTACCCTAAAATTTGAGCAAAACTTATAAAATGACAAGGATTTTTTCAAACGCGTGGGGTATGGTTTCTTAATCAAATATTAGAAGATATCATAAGCAGAAAGGCAGCGTAAATAGCTAGTCAAAAGCATACAACTATATTTCCAATCATTGGTTTTTAGCTTCAGTGTTCGGATGACTTTGGGAACTTATGCGTTCAAATTGAACACTTTGATTGCTCAAAAGAAATAATCTGGATAATTTTTCGTAGGATATTTTTTTTGCGGGTTAGTTTTCTGTCATCTTACTTTAATTGTGAGAGCGGAACTTGCTATAAGGCCTTATTGCGTTATCAACCTTGTCTCAAACTTGATGCCTTAAGTTATACAAATAAGATATTATCGGCCATAATAGAATCCAATCCTAAAAGATTGGGGAGATATGGAGGTTATACGTTGTAATGGGATTTACTTTTGCTCTTCCAGTTAGGCTACTTTTGTCGTTATTAATATCATTTTTTTTTGTTGACAAAGCTACACTACCATAATGCACTTGATTATTTTCACTATTTCTTTGTGCGGTTTTTCCATGTTAAGGTTCATCGAGGTATTTAAAACTGGATTCCCTAAAAAAAGGTGGCAACAGAGGAGTGTCTATTTATGTAGGACTTTCATGTTCTGATTTTCATTATTTTCCACACATAAATTGCGTTATTTTTCCTCTCAACGACGCTCATACTCAAAGAGGATGGGATTCCATGTCTTCCATAATGTTCTTTTAGAAGTTGGTTGTGTATTGTATTGCTGTCAAGCTACAGGTTATTACCTTTATTTATTTCTATTATTTTTATTAATTCTATGTCGAGATATTGACGACAATTTTTATATTCTTTTTTAACAGGCTAATGGGGAGTTTGATTTTTAGCGTGAGACTCAGTTTTTTTTTTGTGGTGGATGGAATTCATGGAACATTACGTTGCTGTAAGTGAATTCCATTTTTTATTTCTATTTTTTATTTTTATTTTTATGGAGCAAGTGATTTGGACGAATGTTATATGGCAGGGGATTGTAATGGACAATGTTATTTTAGTAGTCATGTACATAGCAAGTTAAAGACGGTGAATTTACACCTGAGATTGCAATTTTTCATTGTAAAAGGTCTATCCATATTTGATTAAACATTGTAAATTTCTTTTAGGATGGACGTCTATAACTGCAGGCTGCGTTTCATCATTTGTGCATGCTTGAGAACATCTGCTGTTAATAGCTTTACAGGTTGGGAGTTCAATGTAGTTGGGGTTCTTTGGACTTGTGAGGCTGGATGTGCTGCTCTTGGTTTCAACTGCACCACTAGTTTTACATTACTATTTTGTAAATTATGTTAATGAGTTGTGCTATCAGGTTTAGAATAATATGAGCGTTAACATTAGCACTAACATCACACAAAATAATTATGCACCGAAAAAATTTAACTATATAGCATCTCTTTGGCCAGATAAAATTACGATTTGTTAGGCAAATTTTCAAAAAATTTTGGCTTGTTTAGGATATCTTAATTTTCCCCTCACTAGTAGAAGGAGCTCAGGCATTGAGCCAGGGCTGCAAATAAACCGCGTGAGTAGAGTGAAGTGCTAAAGCCTAAGCGTGCTTGAGTTTAAATCAAGCTTTTGAGGCTGTGTTTAAACTATGTAACCTTCGGTTTGTTGTTCTGTATATTTATATGCGGTTAGCAATGAGCTATTCTAAAATAAAAAGTAATTTAAGTTGAATTTTATCTTTAAAGTATATATTCTAAATGTTAACATTATTTGCTAAATTTATCCTGGCGCAAAAATGGGAAGCTAAAGTAAACATTTAGGCACTAGGGGCCTTTATGAGTTGGAAGTATGAATAATCTATTCATTCTTAAAATTAGGTTGATATACTGTTTTTTTTT